GAGTCATAGAAAAGGGGCAAGGGTATACCATGATTTGATCTTTTGTTTCTTCCAGAAAGGCTCAGTTTCACGTATTTCAGTTACTTCTAGTCAACCAGTGACTGGCAGGTAAATTAAAATGGTCATTTCAAAGGTTCTTGTCACATCCCTTACTGGATGAATTACTTTAAATCTTTAATTAAAATGTTACCTCTGGGATGTTTTTACCAATTAACTCAACCAGGATGACTTTTCCCCTCAGCACTTCCGACACAATCGACTGGTGGTTTATATAAATGGGGATGTTGGGCCGAATGCGTCGGAATAGGCTGTTTGGTAAGCCGGGGATGAAGTGCAAATAGAAATTGTTAAGCCACTTACACATGCCGATTTATGGATGTATTTTAATCAGATTCTTTCCACATCACCAATTTTTGTCGCTTCTGTCGATCGCATAATATTGGGACCCTTCAAACTGTATAGACTACAAATCCAGTCTGGGATCAAGGCGATTGTACTGCCAGCATGTTCAGGGATGTTACGTGAGTGCTGGTCATAGGAGTTACACTTCTGTGATAGTAACCTGTCGCCGTGTCGTTTATTCCCTGAAGAACCAAAAGCTTTACGCTTGTGGGTGAAGGATTTCGAGACAAATGTGGATTTACTGCACGTGTGCTTCAGCGGAAAACTTATGAGAGTGCTACGTTTAACTGGACAGTGTTTTCCTGAGGCAACACACTTCTCAGCTACACCATGTGGTGCATTTGACCTTTGTTCAAGAACAGAACAGTCAATTTCTGCACATATTAGTAGTTAGACATGCTCCTAATCCATTTAAGACAGGCAGCATAGCCGGTTCCTCCAATTTGAGTATCACAGTGGGCTTTGTGTCTTTTCCTGTGAAAAAAAACAATCTCGGAAAACAAGGTGTGAAAAAGAAATAGACGCTTCATTATAGAGCAAGGATGGAGGGTTACTGGGTCGTATCGTTCAAAACTTGCACTCCTTGGTTGAGAAATTGGGGGAACAGCTAAGTGAATAAACAAACATAAACAAAATAACGAAGAAACATTGGTGGACGTGGTAAGAAGGATTGTCTTTCTTTATCCGTGGGGTCCGCATGTAGGTCCATGCAGTCGGCCCGGCAGTGGAGTTAGGAAGATGCTGAACCAATGAACAAAATCGTTTATTGGCGTGCCTATGAGAAAATGTATTACTCTTTTATCTTCATCTTATGTTCGTCAACTCATTCTTCCTTCTCTTCCAGTTTTGCTGCTAACATCCCACCCTCGACCGACCTTTAACATCCTTTTTTTTTTCCTTCATCTTCTAAATTTTCCTTTTCCTGCCGACAGCTTTGTTCTTTTATCTCTGCAGATTGAGTCAGACCTCTCTTTTGTCTTTGACATATTCTCTCATTTAACAGTTTGAAGAAAGGACCAGAGGAGTCAGCCTCATTATAGAATAACAAGGCTGTTAATTGTCTGAATCATGTCTTGTTAGGATTTTTATTATATTACGCTGCTTTGAATGAGTTTAACGCCCCATTTTTAACAATCAAAAGTAAAGCTTCTATCACGCCTGACCACGTTTCCCTCCAAATCACTCCTTTTTGGATTCTGTCCCCACTCCTGGCACCATTCCCATGAATCTTTTCCTTTTTGGCCGCACTGAAAACAAATTTAAATGCAAACAAGGCAAATCTGCGTAGCATATCCTCTCACAGGATGGACATAAAAAAAGGAAATGAGAAGAAAATCTTCTTCCGTGTGGAAATTTTCACAGTCATGGAGGGAAAATGCACAAAATATTTTTGAGGTTTAAAATTGTTTATTACAGTAATCATACATACTTGCCTTTGACCAAAGAGAGTCAGCATTTCCATGTGCAATTATTTACAGTACACGTGTACAGAGCTTTATTAACTTCAATGATCTAATCCACCTATTAGGCATAAAAGGGGTGGAAATCCAGCAGCATTGCAAGAAATACTGTTTATTTGGCATGTTTTTTGATTCTCTTTTTCATTGGTGCAGCCAAATATGTTACTACTGCAAATTAAACTCAACGCTGCAGAGCGTGCATGTGCTTCCATTGGAAGATTCTACGTTTCTGAGCAGTTGCTTTTTTAAATTACCCCCAATTCCCATGGGTTGCTGGGTAAAGCTGGTGTAGTTACACCACCCCGTCTCATAATATTCACTCATTAAAACACAACATAATTTCAACTGCGTTGTTTCTCATTTCCTCTCAAACAAAGTAAACTACTCGTGCACTCATCGGTCTCATAATTGCTTATCCACGTATATCTGTGTTAACCAATTCTTTAACACAAACACTGAAAAGGACACCGACAAATTAGAAATTCGAATACACAATAATGCTTGAGCAAGCAGCTCATAACAGGGGTGCAGTTGCACTGGAGTTAATGCAACACTTGTTATTTCTCATGTAGTCTGACGCCATGGCAAGGCGACAGCAGTTCATACAGGTCAGACATTTCACAGACCCGGTTAGACCCGTTGGTGACGGACAGACAAAAGAAAACAATTCCCTGAAAGCTGTGCCATAGTTTCCTGAATATTTTATCGCTTCACAGCTGAGCAGTCACCGTTCTAAACATGCGGCAGTCTTTGTTGTGCTGCAGGTGACTCAGTTCAACATGTAAATTGAAAATCTACATTTACACAACTATCAGAAATGAGTCCGCGGTAATTTCTGAGTGCACAGAGAACCCTTTTGTGGTTTGTATGTTTGCGCCTGTCATTTTGTACTTGTACACAGGCATAAATATGTATCAGAGAGGAGAACAGTCTTAAAGTTTTTTAAGGCACCGGCTTGTCCAGTCTACCTGACTGAATTTACGCCTAAGCTTAAATTTGGTGAAGGTGTTATTTGAATTTCAACATGCAAGAATCTCAGCAGTCTCTCCTGTGAAGGCTGCAGTCGCCCCAAGGAGACATTAGATTGTACTGCTTTTGCTCTCTGTCTGTTTGTTGTAAATCTATGAGTGCATGCGCATTCATGTGTCTTTTTTGCATTGAAAAGCAAGTTAACAATTAATATCAATCTGGACCCGAAGATATCATTTCTGCCCTATCGCTTTTGAGGACCCCTGAAATGAAAAGATACATTTTAAGGTTTTTAGGAAGATAAGGAACCTCATACCCATTGTAGTCATTTCCCCCTAAAGCACACGTCTAATCTATATTCAAATACCCTGAAAACGGTAGTAGATCAAAAGGCTATAATTAAAGAAGCCAAGGTGCATTTGTCATGATCCCACACATAAGTGATTATCTACATAGATCAAGTCATCTATGCTGACGTTAAATATATTTTTTCCTTTTTGATGTTAGGAGACCTTTTTAAGTCATTATGTCGGACATGGACAATTTATTATTTCAAAGCTGATGCTGGAATTCTCTGGTGGATATTAGTGTGTATCAATCTGGGTTCTTATCCTGTGTTTCTTATCCTAAAACTAAAATATAATCCTTTTCTAATATTTCATTCAATATTTACTGTTCAGTCACATTTAAAGGAATAATACCATTTCCCAGCTGTATTAACAGTCTATTACTTTCTGTGTCAGTGCATTTGAAGCATACGTGTGTTTTTGTGGGGGTTTTCCTGTTTGGAAGGCAATGCTGCTGAAAAGCGTTTGGTCGCTCCACCAACACTTAAGTTCAGACTGGAATATGTCAACGCCGTTGGGATGCATTCCCATTAAATTTGGTAGAGTTATTCATGATCTCCAAATGACCAATCCCTCTGACTTTAATGAGGTGCTGCCTTCTCTGCTAGATTCACCATGAGATTCAAATTACATTATTATGAAATGTCTAAGAAACTTGTTGATGGATTTCCGTGAAATTTGGTTGACGCATTCATGTCCCAAAAGAACCAATTAGTTATTTTTGTGAGCCATTAACTATTCACGTGGAGCCATCTGGTCTCAATTTCAATTAATTTAATATTTATATGTACTGTATTGTCTACTTAGTATAGTCATGTATTATCATATGTATTGATCATGATGAAAATAGGATGATATTCCTTTATTCGTATAAGAACAGCAGTAATAAGTAAGTAAAATTAAAATAATAATAGACAAAAATAAAAAACTAAACATACAAGGAACTACATAAATAGATGTATATGTACACACAGTGTATCACAGTGGTTATTTCACATAATTATTTTGATTGGAAATGCAATATCTTTTCACAAAATTCTCTCCATTTGTGTTTTTTTTTACAGCATTTAGTTCAGGGAGTGACATCTATGAGTTTTTCCTTATCCCCTACTTGCATATTTGTACGTAGTGACAGTTTTAACTTGACAGCCACACACAGAACTGCATGTGCACTGTAAAGTATTGCAGCAGCTGCTTGGCAATGCTATGAATAGAGCTCCTTTCTGACAAATTTCTGATCAAAAATAAACATGAGGTGAGCGGTGGCACTTCCATCCCCGCGTCAGGTGATCCAGTCTGAGGTTAGGGTTGCTGTTTAATCAAAGTGCTGTGTCCACAAGCTTTTCCCTCTACTCTGTCAAAACAGAGTACCATTCATGATAAAACTTTTTGGGGGATTGCGATGGGTGGGGGCAACTAGCTTTGGCTTGCTCGAAAACCTTTGTTGCCAACCGGCTGGAATAAATCAGTATTAGGTCATATCAGAAAAAAGAATACTTTAATTAAGAAGCGCGAAGCAATGTTAGTGAACGGCTTGAAAAACAACTGTATTCTAGAAAAAGGTAAATACTAGAGGTATCTTCTGATTTAACATAATCTCACCTGTGTAAATTGTAATATATGCGTGTAGGCACAAATGTACAGGCATCAAAAGTGCCAAGCCCATTGGAATGAGCTGACTCATCCTAATAGTCTGAGCACAAATGAGAGGGGACTAAACCATCAGAGCTGTCTTAGAGGTGGAATCCAGTGTCACCTGCATAATAAAGCATGTGACTTAGTCACTTAGAAACTGTCTATCTGTCCCTTTCTTCCTCTCCAGGTAATGTATTTGTGGTGAGCTTGGCCTTCGCCGACCTTGTGGTAGCCTTCTATCCCTACCCCTTGGTTCTCTATGCTCTCTTCCATGACGGATGGGCACTGGGAAACACACAATGCACGGTAAGACCACACCAGCTAAGGAATGTTTCAGTTACCTACCAATACAACAACAACACACTGACGCTTCACTTTCTCTCCGTTCAGGTCAGCGGTTTCCTCATGGGGCTGAGTGTCATCGGTTCCATTTTCAACATCACTGGGATTGCAGTGAATAGATATTGCTACATCTGTCATTCATTCTCCTACAGTCGGCTGTACAGCTTTCGCAACACTCTGATGTTTGTTGCCTTAATTTGGCTGCTCACAGTGGTGGCCATTATCCCCAATTTCTTTGTAGGCTCCCTGCGCTATGACCCGCGAGTCTACTCCTGCACCTTCGCCCAGAATGTTAGCAGTTCATACACAGTGACGGTGGTCGTGGTTCACTTTTTGGTACCAATTGCAGTGGTTACCTTCTGTTATCTACGCATCTGGGTGCTTGTGATTAAGGTCAGTCTCATGCTTCTCCGAATAGTTATTTACGTCTCTACAGGCACACAGAAGGTGTTAACCTGTTAACATGCAATCAGCTGCTAACAACAGGCATCCCTTGGACCAAAGAAAAGGTGTTGCACAGTTCCTCCAATATTAGACATGTAAAGTAAGAAAAAGAAAGTAAACAAAAGTTTGATCAATTCCTAGATGAGTTTTTAATTTTTAGGGTTGTCAACATGAATGTATTAATCTATGCGATTAATGTGGCCTAGATTAATGCAATAAAATATTTTAACGTAGTTAACGTTCGTTTGTTTACTTCCGGTATACTTCCGGTCCAGGAAGTAAACAGGAAGTTGACCGCAGAAACGAAACAGCCGCTAGCTGCAGTCAGTTAACGTTACATTAAGATAGAGAAAGCTTTTGGCATTGGAAGTAAAACAAACAGTGGTGCGACATACAGCGGATAACTGTGCAGAGGAATTACTACACGTGTCAAACAGAAGGGAGGTGAGTGTAAAACGGACCACTTAAAGCACTGCTATGTTAAGCTAGCTGCTAGGCTAAGCTAGCTGCTATGCTACTTCCATTTCAACATCAAACGTTACCCTGCGTGGCACACAGTCTGCAGGAGGAGGACCACTACTGTGTTCCTAAAAGACCGTGGTTTGAAAACGTTCTGGCTAAATGTGGGGGGATTGTTGAAACTTAAAACACAGTCATTAAATGATGGAGAATTGAGAGCAAAGTGCACGAGGACGGCAAGAGTCGCTAGTTCAACATGTTCCTCCCATTGGAATTCTGCCTCCAAGATGATCAAATGTATGTAATTTTGTGTTTAAAATGGCATTAACAATTAAACAACACACTTGTGTGTCTAAAAAATACACACTTTCTAAAGTGATTACTCATTACTTTTAAGATTTAGACTTTAGAAAAAGAAAAAAACATTAATTATACACAACATTGTAACAACAACAACATTCATTAATTGCCATTAATCGAGATAAAAAATAAAAATGTGCGATTAATTAGTTGTTGTTTTTTAATCTATTGACAGCCCTAGTAATTTTCAAAGATATTCTAATAAAATGCATCATCCCATCAGAATAATCTTTGCATATGGTCTTTAATTACCAGTAAGTGTACGTTTAAAACGAACAACAGAAAAAAAGTTTTTATGAAGTCAGTGCCAGTGATTTAAGCTAGGATATTGTGTTTAACAGGCAGATAGGTGGAGGAAAACCCTGTATCTGTGCATATCTTTGTGGGTTTCTTTCTAGTTATTTCAGAGAGAAAGAGCCGCTTTGGAACCTTTGAATAATTCTTGGCCTATGTGTTTTCATGCAGGTGCGACGTAAAGTGAAGATGGACGAGAGCCCTCGCCTCAGACCAAGTGACATGCGGAATTTCATCACAATGTTTGTAGTCTTTGTGCTGTTTGCCATCTGCTGGGCTCCCCTTAACCTGATTGGCTTGGCGGTGGCCATAGATCCGTCTCGTGTGGCTCCGCGGATCCCAGAGTGGCTCTTTGTGGTCAGTTACTTCATGGCCTACTTCAACAGCTGTCTGAATGCCGTCATCTATGGCTTACTCAACAGGAATTTCAGGAACGAGTACAAGCGCATTGTCACTTCTGTCTGGGTGACTCGGCTTTTTGTGACGGAGACTTCGCGACCTGCCACGGAGGGCAGGAGCATGAGGAGCAAGCAATCGCCACCTCCACCGCTCAACAACAACGAGTCAGTCAGAGATCGTACAAACAAAGAATGACTCCTGTAATCCTCAAGCCTGTAAAATGTTAATTCCTGTTTTTGTGACGTCCAGTCAGTTGTGCAGCTAAAGAGTATTAAGTAACGGATGAAACTAAAATGCATGGCTTGGTTTTCTGTAAGTACGCCTCAATCAGACCAGGATGTAGGCAAACATGTTTACAGCTGTGACCTTTTTTTTCCAAAGTTGTGAAAACGTATGTAGTATATAAGTTCTTGAAAATTTATGTTTGGAGGATTAACTCAGCAACTTTGCTAAAATGCTAAATAAAGCAGAGGGTCCTATGTGATGTCAGCTTGTTACGTCCTGGGAGAATGAAGCCATGCATTGGAGTTTCATTGTGCTCCTACTCTCAAAATATTCTAAAGTGGTATACCAGTATATCATAAAAAATGTAATAACCTTTAAGGTCTGCTGTTGCAGCCCCTGTATATTCCACCCAATATGTGGTAGCAACTGGTGAACACAGGCTACACGTCTCTTTAGTAACTTCAAAAGCCTCAAATACTATAACCCGCCTCACTTGAAGCTAGATTTGTAAAGAGAAAATAATGTCAGTCCGTCTAATGTGTAGTATCAGTGTGACGTTGTGTGCCGTGGTAACAGTGATGTGACGGTAGCATATACTTGATGTGGCCCCGTCTGACCCTCTTGCACTTCAAAAAACTACAAACAAAAACTTAGTAATGAACATAGTGCATCTTCAGGAAATTAACACGAAGCCAGTCACTAGCTCCACAACGAGTGACAATCGGAACTAAAAGAAAAGGTGCATGTGATGTAGCAGGAAGAGGAGACAAACTGAATCTATTATTGCTGCTGTAACTCCATCGTTCTGCATCGCACATCCTAATGCTCCTCAACTGCTGCAGGTTTTTTTCTAACTTTAATGCAATTCTAATTCAAACATAACAAAGTGAAACATCTTCTCTGAAAAAAGGCCAAAGTGGTGTGAAAAAATAGCTAGACTTTTCCTTAAAGGCAAAATGTTGATTTGATATTACACTAGCAATGTTTTTTCCTCTGTTAATATCCATTTAAATATTAATTACTTAGGTTTCTTCTTCTCTGCTATAGGGGTGCAACATTGGTTTCATGCAAGGTACCAAAATCAGTATATTGTACCATTTTGTATATGAGTCATCACATAATTATAGCATATATAGATTATATGTGTGATCATTAAATGAAAATTTACAGTGATATACATTTTTAACTAGAAATATAAATCTGTAGAGATAAGAAAACAAGGAGGCACAATTTGATTTAGAGAACACCAGTAGTGGAACGTTATTACTGCAAGTGCAATTTTGAGGTCCTTTTTAGATGTTGATACTTTTATTTGTCTATTTAAGCACTTTTTTCCACCAGTGGGTGAACAAAAAGACTGCAGGTGAGCAGAACACTCACACAGCGACAGCACAACAACAGACACTGATGCCAAAATGTTAACTAAATAAATTGTTAAATTAAAAGAAATAGCCGAGTGCAACAGTATCATGAATCAGGAACATTTACTGCCAAAAATATGTTAGCCATATGAGGAATTAGACATGGCGGTAGGGGAATTAGACAATAAGATATCGGACAACAAGACAGATAAGATAACGTGTGTGTAAGCACAGTGCAAGAAAATGGCATAGCATAACATCTCTTTTTGCATGCTAACACTTTGCTATGCAATTTAAAGGAGTAGTTGTCATGATCCAAGGTCAGCTGCATGTAAATATCATATCCACCTTACTGAGATAAACTGTCTATTTATCATACCAACTTACTGTAAAATCATGCCGCCCCCAGGTTATACGGCAGACCAACAAAAGGACTATCATATAAGTTCAGAATGTTTTCTTGCCTTCTTTGATAGAAAGCTTCCTCCCTAGAAAATGCCGGAAAATGCTTTTACTGAATGTGCAGCAAGCAAAATAGAATAAAAAAATGCTCCTTGGCCTCCTCCATCATATGCAGAATGTGGAAGTCTAATGCAGTGGTGATTTTCATTTTGAAATACTTATGCAAAATGTTTGCTTTTCATCTTGTAGGCTATGTATCTTTGTTAATAGTTCATTTTTATATAAATATAGAAAACTTTATTTACCAGGGACACATTTGTATGCTTACACTGTGGAAAAACAAACAGAACCCAAAAGAGTATATTAGGGGTTTGCATTTAGTGTTTAGGTGTTGTTTGAATTCATATTTGATCTGACAGAGGAATATTTATTGCCTGTTAAATGATTGAAGAGCAGAAAGATGTAAATTGTAGTGAAGGTACAGCTCATATCTGTATTCCCATCTCAGGGTGCCTACCGAACATTTTCTCATACCACACTGTTTGCGGTTTATCAGTTGCCATAAATGGGAGGGAGAATATTTAAAAGTGATATTTTGTTAATTACTGTTAGTATTGCTTTTAAATGTGGTATATTGTTACTGGAGATGTATTTGAAATGTGTGTGAAATTTAAAACAAAAAACATATATATGAATATCTAAAGCTCAACAACCTCACACCACTAAGGGTTTATCACCAAAAAATGCTTGACCTCTCTTACTCCAATACAAAAGTGCATCGAAAACAACCTCCTGCTTAATTGGAATGTACATATACAATTACTTTAGTTTTCTCAAAGTGAAATGACAGAGTCAACTTCTAATTGCATGAATCAATTAACGAAGAATAGCATCACATGTACCTAAAATAATTTTCTTTTTTACATTTCAATTCATTGCACATGTGTGTGTTCTTACACATGGTCCAAGTTGTGCAAAAACAAACTAATGCAACAGATGCAAAGTAAAGGGCCAGGATAGAATATTTGAAAGAAAACATGGGGAGGCAAAGTATTGTTGAAAAGATGGAATTTAGATGAATGAAGAGTGACTGTGCTGTCCTGACAAGAGAGGTGAGAAGGACAGAAGGATATTCCTTCCACTGCGGCAACAGGAGTCCAATACATCTGGAGAGTGCTTTGGATGCACTTGGAAGAAAGCAGATGCTTTCAAACAATTTTAACCAAAGAAAATGGCGTGGCTGAAGGGTTTTAGGTGTACATATGATATGTTGAGTTATTACCGGGAGAAGTAATCTCTGAGGTTATTTATTCCTTTAAAAGCACTGCCTTATTGTTGATACAATAGTTTAGAATTTGAGATATTATGGCGAGTGCCATATTTTCTATTAAAAAGAAACCTATTCAGCAAACACACATGCACACAATTTTTCTGGATTCCTTACCGGTATTATGTATCTATGTTCCCTCTGCTCACTGCACCCTTACTTTAGGCCTTTTTTTCAATACAACCAAATATGACACCTTGCTGGACAGCTTTAAGGATGTTTGTACAGCTCAACCTAAAAACTTTCACCTCAGCCAATTACTGACGGCTTCAACACAGAAAAATAACCGAATGATTGAGTATTATTTTACAAATTGCGAGCTGTCAAAACAACTATATATATATCTATATATATATAGATATATATATATATCTATATATATATAGTTGCTTTGGTATATATGTATACATATATATATATATATATATATATATATATATATATATATATATATATATATATATATATAGGGTTTATATATAGGGTTTTATTAACTGGAAGGAAAAATGTTCAGCTGGCTGTGTGCAAAAGGTTGAATGATGAAACAGGGTGTGTGAAAAAACAACATACAGCATATTCTTCAAAAGACGCAAACAATAATTTAAAAATAAAAGGTCATCCTCTGTTTTCCACAAAAATTTGACAGCAAAGTGTTAACTTTGTGCGACTAATTCTTTTCTGTGCTCAACAATGCAAAACAATTTCAAATGTCTGCATTATGCTGTTTGAGTCCCTCTCACAGCCTCTCCAACATCAATGCACAGTATTCGCACAGGTTGACATTTCCATAACAAAGGTAGTCCTCTCAAAAGTTTTCTTTTGGAGAGAGAGTAGCATTAGTGTAGCAGACACTTTGCATTTGAAAAGGCTTGCCTTCAGTAGCTTTTAAAAACAGCCACTTTATACAAGTGATTTTTATGTAAATACAGGTCATAGATCACCAGACATTTTCAAACCATTAAAGCTTGATCGCAAACAGTGACGTGCTAATTGGCTGTGGCTTCTCACAAGTCCTTTTTTTATGATTTAAAATACAGCATACTTTTTGATCAATGTTACGGTCTGTTAAGCAGAAACCTGGAAACACTCTAAGCAGGTAGAAGAGATCTGAGCTACATGCCTGCATGGCACGAAATAGACTAGATGTATCCTTAAACCTTGCCGTAGCTTCTTTTTCATCTGGACCCACTCACCATAGCCCAGTCAGTTTGTTGTGTCATTAATGGGTTTTGTAACAGCATGACAATTTCAGCTCACAGCTAAAGGCAGAACAGGATGCATCAGTAATTTAAAATATGTGCAAGGTACCGGCACTCAGATGAAAGTAAAAGGCCAAGCCTTTGAGAACATAATTGAATGCACTTACACTATACAGACACATGCCAAGAGACCACAGAAACATACCGTATCTGTGTATACACATACGTATAGAGTTTACAGAAAGGAAACCAAGATACACAATTAAAACTGTGACTACAAAAACATGAATTAAACAGCTGTTAAATTGTTTGTAAAGCACAAATACCTTTTTTTACCAAATAAAACTGCATTGGCCGCAGCTTGTTGGACCTGCGTGTGCCCGCAGTCGGATGCTTCGAGGCATGTTACCCAACAATCCCTGTTCAGGCTGTAGTGTTCTTTTTTCCAAGGTGTAAAGTGACACAAGACAATTTGAAATGCCTTATTAGAAGTGAGTGAGGTCTGTGGTTGGTGACTGAAGTTGACTACTTACCAATCTGTGTTATTTATAGGGTGATGCTCGTCGAATAGAATTCACTAACATGTGCAAGCCGCGGCGCTCGTATGATGGTCTGACCAGCCAAAGGGAAATGTGTGGAATGTAATGGAATTCAAAAAGTCAACACTCAAAAGGCTTGGTTTTGGGTCTAAAAAAAAGGAACTGTGTGTAAAACGATATACATTATGTTATGTGTACAGTTCTATTGAAATCCGATGTGACGGAAAATAAAATTGATATCTCATACTTTGCTCATTAATGTGTGTCAAATGAGCACGCTGAAAAAAGTTTGAACTATGAGGTTCCAGGAAGTATGCACTTGCAGACTCTCATTAAAAGGTACAGATGTACAGATTTGGGTGAGCAACGTGCAGGGTTAAAGCGTATACACTGTAAGCCGGGTCACAATTTATACTTCACATACAGAATTTTTCAGAAGTCACACGCTCAGCCCACGATAATAATTTTAGCGGTTTCTTTAAAACTAGTTAGTCACAATAAACATTTTAGCATGCTCAATTTTTCTTAGAAGGATTGCCAGGACAAATAGGGCGTTAGGGGAGGTGAATGCAGATTAGACTGTAGCAGAAGTTAGGACATGGCAAAGTGGTGACGATACAGCACCGGAGGAAAGGATTATAATTAAGAAAGTTGGATGTGAATAAAAGAAAACTACGGCCCACTCTGAATACTTGCAGGAGGTGATATCGAGAAGGTGGCCCTGACTCATCCCTATAATCAAACTCAAAGCACACATCAGCGCTGTAGTGAGAAGTAATAATCAGTCACTACAAAAGAATATGTTTTAAAAGGCTACAGTAGGAAGGTGCGTAATATACATTTTAAAAAACAATGCAAGAACATTTAAATCACTCGAACCTTTATGGCTTTATACTTCAAATCTGTCTTGTTTTTATTGAAAGACAGAAACCACACGTTTCAACAGATGACAAATTTGGCTCATACCAAAATAATTCATAATTAGTTAACGGTTGTGATTGCATTTAAATATTTTTTGATTAACATTTAATATTTGAAAGGGCATTTTAATCTCACCTAATGCACGTATTAACAAAAATAATCCATGCAGATTAACTTTGTTAATTTATTTACTAATTTCACCCAGAAACAATTTAATTTATCTTTGAAGCAGAGATTAGAGGTTACTCATTTATAAAATGATATGGATTTATTCAATGTATAGTAGACACGGGCTCTCAGAGAGGAATGATGAGATGGCTCATGCTATTTCGCATTTTTAATGCGTTTTAAAACGCTATGTTGAGGGCAAAACTGTTGATTAAAAATTTACTGTTTTAAATTTAACAATTTTTTTTTTTTGCATTTTAAAGGGATTTACCTTGAAGGACAATAAATGTCATGGTGCTAAATCGATTTCAAGCTACATTTTTGTTGGTAAATGATCATATTTACAGGTCACAAGTGTAAAGTCAAAGCATTGAAACTGGAAAGGGTAGAAACAAATGAATATGTGAGCAGAGGGGAAATTCATTCTGGAAAATGAGTTGGAGTGACTTCTCACACACTTAATAGATTTAATAGATCTGAGCTTTAATAGTCAGGTCAAGCACAATTTTAGAAGGCATATCGTTTTCTTTACACCAGAAAAAGCTCTATTATTACTGGGAATCCTCTATTATATAGATAATTGATTTGGTCTGAAAGAAAAAAGGCTTTAAAAGATCTTGTCCCCAGTTTACTTTTTAAGTCAGAGTGAACCACAAGTATTGCCTGCAGAAAAATACTATTGTCTGTTTCAACCAGGCTACAGCTTTGGTCCCGCTGCCAACAAGCTCCTCTTTTGTGTTCAAGAATGACAATCACGCAGGCATCCCAGCTGCACTTCAAAAACTCTCAATTGTCGTACTCTGCAACTGCTAGAAGTGGCGGCTGAAAAGGAGTCAGCTGTCAGCTCTTTGCTGAGGACCGAAGGAGCCTGAAGACAGTAGATAGCCGCTAAGACCTCCAGGGTTGCCTTGTGGTTGTCATAACAACGTAGGCTGAAGACATCAGGCCGTTTCTGAAACTAAATCAACAGTCCTAAACAAGTAGAAACTGCAAAGCAGCCAACCTGTCATCTCCCCCTGCATTCTGCTGAGTTCTCAGAGGACAGGATTAGATATTCCAATTAGCATCTCCTCTTCAGTCAGCAGTATACAGTCACACAAAAAGTCAGTGGGCTCAGCGGCCGCCCAGAACCAAACGATGTCACTGCTGGACATAGGTGTCCTTTTCTATTTAAACTGAGTTCTACTGAGATCTACAGAGCGGGCAGTACACATAGAGATTCCTGCCTCAATCAGTAATTCCACACATCTAAATCACGATTAGAATACAGTATTGTAACCATAAAAAACGTTGCTCAGACGTAGGTCTAGTTTTTATTATAAACGTGTTTTTTCCATGACAGACTGGATCTATCCAATGAGATGAGTCACACGCTCGTTCAATCGTATAGTGGGCTCTCGCCTCAGTGGCACTGAACAGGATGGAGGAGGATTTTTGCAAGAACAAACCCTGCTATTTTTGGATTAAGAAGAACAAGAGCAAATTCATGGTTGTGAGATGGAGAATATTTGAAAACACATGGTAACATCTGTGGTTTAAAGTTTTACAATAAATCACAAAAATCTGTGTTAAATCAATTAAGTAATATTCCAGAATGAATGTTCTTTCTGCCCACCTATTGCTTTGCTTCCAGGATTTCCAGCATCAGTGCTCTGACTTTATACCTGTGACCTGTAAATATGATCATTTCAGAAGAATATTCTTTAAAACAGGAAATATGAAACAGTAGTTTGGAGTGGTTGCTCTTGAACAATTTTTGAAAAATAGTCAGCCAGCACATTTTTTTGCTGAGCAGGCTTTAATTCAGACCCTGCCCTTTTGTACTATGTGTCCTTCACAGATGGAATATCGGGATGGCGTTTTTAAAGGAGTATGTCTGAAGGGCATTTGGTATTTCTAACGTGATTCCTTGGATCTGATACATGAGTAATAATTAACTTAACGTTTTTTTTTCCCCATTCAGTATGTTTCACAGGTGAACTGCGAGACACATGATGCATTTCAATTTCAAACATGACAAAGTTCCTCACAGCTTCCTCTTTATAAAATAGAGTTTACTGTCAGAGTAACACAACTGCATTTTATGGTGCTTTACGGTTAAATGAAGCTTAGGCGAAAATTCAGTCAGGAAGACTGGACAGGTTGTGCCGTTCCCTGGTGGCCTCCTCTCTCCCTGGGGGTGCACGGCCAGCTGATTAGGGGCGGGGTCGGGTAGTATCAGACGTGGGTGTCGTTACCGTAAACCCATCGCATTGGTGCAG